GTAGAATAGACTCATCATATTAATAAATGGAGTTTTTCATTGACACTATACATTAATAATAATACTAAATTCTTTATTTTACATGATTCAGACTGTTTATTCGGCATACAAAATAAATCGCCTCAAAACAAATATCACTAAATCAGACATCTTAGCCCAGACATACGTGTTAATCTAGACATGACTTAATAGAAAAAAAACTCTCAATTTAATATAGAGCCCGTTTGATAACACTAAAATGGATTGAATCAACTGACTCTATTGAAACTGATTAGGTTCTGACTGAATGGTATGCATAATTACTTTTAAATTTTAATAGTAAGATGTTGCATTTTACTCATAATTTCCTCACATTAAAAATGTCTAAAAGTGTAGTTTTTAAAATTTCAACTATTTTCTCAATTGGACAATTCTAATTTAATAATTAAAAAAAATCAAGCATCTAGGATTCTAGGGGAAGGGATTCCAACTTAGAGATATCCTTCGATTTAAAAATAAGGATGTATATATAATAAGGAACATCCGAACATATATTCCTTAATATCCTTAATCCTGAAATTCGAAATCTAAAATATATTAAAAGTTACCAAATAAGGTGGATTTCTATATCAATGTGTAATAAAAATAGAATGTAATAATAAAATAAAAGGTATAAAAATAATTAAATAATGGTCATATATGATGACATGGCAGGCTTATGTGGCGCGTTGTATGCTCTTAAAAAGTTCCTCCTTTATATATATATATTGATTTCTCTGTAATTTTCGCAATAATTTTGTGGCAGAAGCAACCAGAATAGCCGGCTGGACGTATATTAGGGGACCATATATATAGGCCCAAATTACTTGAAAACAAGAGTTGCTGCCACTCCTGGTTTCATATGTTGTATTTAACTATTTTCATGATACCATTATATTCTTCTTTGTCCATATACTCCGTATATCGTTTAATTATTACTTGCTCCGTATTATACTATTCTTTGTCCATTATACGGAGTACAAAATTACGAATGTGTACGGTAGGAGTAAGGGGCCAGATTGCCAGAATATAATATAACTTTAAAATATAAAGTACAAAACTAGTAAAAGAATATTACCGGATGTCCCCGAAGGAACAGTAAAAGAATATTACATACTACGAGAGTTCGAGTAATACGATAGTATTCATTTACATTCAAAACTGCAATACCAAATAGTATGCCATCTAAAATTTTGAATTACTTTCTTGCATTAAAATAATGTATAATAATATGAGTAATTCTTTTTTGTTTCAAAAAAAAAATATGAGTAATTCTATTCGCAGCCACTCTTTTGCTAAATACAGCCGCTTATTATTTATCATTACAATTATATCCTTATTCACGGCCTCCTTTTTTACATCCCTGCCTCCTCGCCTCCTCCTCATAACAGAAATGGCGGAGTCATTGAGCCAAAACCATATGGCCAAATCAACTCCTTTCTTCCTTTAAGTCCTCCCTTTTTAGTTAATTCATTATTAACCGGAAAAACGTTTATACAGATTCCATAGATCATAGTCGTTATGCACTAATACAATACAGTAATACTGTATTTTTTTTTGTTACTTCATATACGGTTAGGATGGATTCTGGTGGGCTTCTCCGCTCTTCGGCAAGAATTTGTGCTAAAATTGAGAAAACGACTGTCCGGATAAGATTCATCAGTGGAGAGAGTTGGTAACTTGGTATATAAACTGATATACACACACCTTGCTTCCAGTCTCGATGCCGTCATAGCTCGCCTCATCAAGATTGGGAATCTCCAGATAACGTCCAAGACAATGGATAATTTCGAGAAGCAGTTTGTGAATATAGAGGTCCAGGCTCAGTTCATGGAGAAATCCATGGCCAGAAGCACTTTCCTGTCCACGGAGAATCAGGTCAACTCCTTTGTGCAACAGGTCGCCGATGACTATGGCCTTGACGTTTCCGTTGGGCTTCCATGGCCTGTTGCTCATGCGGTGGCAATGAAACCACGGAGAAGGTCTATGACTCTATGTGCATTGAGCAAATTGTCATATCTGAAACAAAGCTCAGGGGCGGTAAAAAAAAGACAGAGCTGCGAATAAGGATATAATTGGAATGATAAATAATAGGTGGTTCCATTTAGCAAAGGAGTGGTTGCGAATAGAATTACCCTAATAATATTCAGCACACAATATACAGCACATTCGGTAACAAAACGAGCTCATAAACTAAAAGATGCTTTCGCAATGTAACGTCTTTTTTGCAATATCAAGTAACCTATAATGAATAATTATGCAACCACAAATAAATAAAAACTCATTACATCAATCTACTACTAAAAACAAATTCACAAACCAAAGAGATTATAATTTGTAAATTCCTAGGAACTAATAACAATTCACCAAAATTTAGATCATATTATATTTATTAAATTAATAACTAATTAACTAATAACAATTCACCAAAAATTCTGAAATTCTAAAATAGGACTCACATGTTTTTATTCCCTAAATAGGAGTAATTTATGTCAAGTTTGACAAAAACTGCCATGTTTAAAGCATGATAATGTCAGACTTGACAGAAATTACTCCTATTTAGATAATAAAAACATGAGAGTTTTATTTTGGAATTTCAAAATATTTTTATTCATATTCAGGACAATTTTATATTTTCTTTGTGTTTTGCATTTCAGATACTATCACGGTATCATCTAAAGTATTGTAGGTTCGTGCAAAGAATACTTCGTATCTATAATAATATTTGATGGACTTATCGTTTACCCTAATAATCCTATAGATTGGATCTGTTGACAAGTTTTTAACCTCGGTTGGATTTACATCACTAAAATGCCCACATTTGAAATGACTTTGAAAGTCATTGTGTGTGGCTAGAACATGTGGGTCTCAAATTTTTTATGTTTAATCAAAAGATCATTATTTTGCTCACCAATGAGTAAAAAATCCCATTATTTTTTAAAACCCTTTTCTCTATATTATTGTTAGAGCTGCATATTAGAAATATGCATGGTTGAAAAGGTCTTTTCACACAATATCAGTATCAGTGATTTTTTGTCCATAAACTTTAATTTAGATGTTCTATAAAACATAACAACATTAGTCACTAAAACATTTAAAATTCTAGAATTTTAAATTACTGCTCTGGCAGAAGTACCTTTTGTTGGTGGTCATATCTCTCTTGAAGACAATTCATAATTCTTTTGGATTATCGATCAAAAGGCATTTCAACTTTAAACTTTCATGGAGATGGTGATGGAGGAAAATTATAGCTTTTGTTTTATCTTGGGCAGATGACTGGTTATTAATCTCGTTAGTATCCTCTAGACTATTAGTCTCTAAATGTGCTAAAAGCATCAACTTTGCATTCCAAGTACATTTGGCCATATAATCTAGGATATCAAATTCTCTTTTGCTAATAAACGTTTACCATCTATACCATAAATTATTAATTTAAATATATTAATAAAACGTCATACTATTTATCGTGTTAAGTTACAAACTACTTCGTATATTAATGTGTTTAATCACACAAATAATATATAGAAATATACGGAGTATGACTTTGAATATGAAAATAATTATATATTTATGCCTCAAATAAAAGAAACTGTTTGATACTGTTTGAAATATGATTATTTTTCATGAAAGAAACAAATTCTTCTCAAGGAAACATTTACTCATTCACCCGTGAGTCCGTGACTACATGCAGGGCTAGCTAGAGAGTTATTGAGGCCCTAAACAAGATATAAACATCAATAATATTTAACACGACATATTTTAGTTTGTTTTCTAGATAAAAATAATATTCCGTATAAACTATTGTACCTATATTGAAAAATAAATTGTACTCCGTAACTCAACTATTGTAACCATTATACTTGCAAATTGTCAAAGAATTACATAACTCAACTATTGTAACCATTATACCTGCAAATTGGCAAAGAATTACGTACAACATAAAGAATATGTTATCACAAATGCACTTATTAAATTCACAAATCAAATTAAATAATATTGCTACATTCAAGCTAATTTTGAAAAATATAACGAATATATATGTATTGCAAAATTTGAAAAAGTAAAGATATTTGAAAAAGTAAACATAACTAAAATTAGGGGGTTTTCATTAAATATTACTAATAATAAGTCATGCAAAAAAATTACTCCCTCCATCCCATTTTACCCGTTCTACTTTCCTTTTTCGGATGTCCTAAAATAAGTGTCACGTTTTCTTTTTTGGAAAGAAATATGTGGTCTACATTTATTTTATTTATTATATTCAAATATCAACAACAACTTTTATTTTTTCAATCGTTTCATTAATAATTGTGCTAAGTAAAAGTGAGACGCATAAAATGGGATGCAATAGTATTTAGTAACTAACTAAATATTAGTGAGTATAATTGTATTCAGATTTAAATCGTAGTAATTACATGCATGTAAATTATATCGTAGTAAGAAGCTAAAAATATTTATTAAAATAGGGATCATATAGTGAGTAGTGACAGATAAATAAAATGAGTAATGAGCAGTAAAAAATTAAAAAAGAAAAGAAAATATATGTAGCGTACATCCCCCAAAATAATCGATGCACGTACTTCGTGACGCTTTGTCCAACGTACAGCTGCTGCCTTGCCTAACTCCCCCTTATGCCAGCACTGACTGCGTGGGTGATATTTGTACTATCACACAAGGCACACCGCACACCCGTGATGATAATAGATAGTACTCCCTCTCTTGAGATAGTACACCCGTGATCAACCCCTCCAGGTAATTGCTCGCCAACATTCAATAGCCTAAATCCACACAATCCGCACCTTACCAGACATCCCACTCTTCGGCTAGCTAGCTAGATTGATAGTAGTCAGTAGACAACCAACACAAGCTTGCCAGAAAAAAAGATTTAATCTTTGGTTTGAGTTTTCAGTTCCACCTCGATGCCCAGCCTGTCCATAAATCCTCCTGAGACTCGCCTGTGATTATCCTGTAACAGTACGCACTGAGAATCTGCCCCGGCTCTCCCATCTCCAGATTAGTTTATCAGGTAATTTACGCTTACTTATTGGAATACTCTGTATTAATTCTCTATCCCTGTTGTTGAAAAATGTCAATTAAAATGTTCGAATCCCATGTCTGAGATTGCCCAATAAATAGGCTGTTAAAAGTCTTATTTTCCAACCCCTCAGGAGGGGGTGTTGAAACCAGAGGATTTGCCTTATCTGGCAGCCAGGGGTGTGTCCATACAATTACCGTCACCAACCTGCCAACAATAGCCATCTCAAACAAGCTCCTCCATACATAAGATGGGTTGCTTCCCAGTTTGGCTTTAAGAAAATTACCATCCGGATAGTACCTGGCAATATTGAATTTCCGTAGTACCTTTTTTTAATCTCTGGAAGCAGAGACCTCTTCAGCATGGGTCATATGGCAGTGGATAGTCTGGCCTAAAATCATATTGGTTTTTTTTAAGGGACTTAAATTGCTCTGCATTCAACAGAGTTAAATTGATGTGTTATGCGTTTGTGTAATCATCTAAAAGCTTGATCATGGAAATAAATTGTTGTCAATATTTCTGGATCATTAGAGCATCTTTAATACAATAGTGTGCACAATTCATATATGGCATGAATGAGATAGGACACACAAATAAATCGATGCTACATGTGCACCGTGCAAATTGTTGCATTGGAGATGCTCCGAGTTATGAATGTCATGGAAATTATTCTGTTATTCTTCATTGACGTTGATTTAAATATGCAGAGTATATGAAAGATCTTACGTATCTAGAGAAGGAAAGAAAGATACATCCCAATCGTCACTTTATGCATTTATGAAGGTTTCATATTTGATCAACTTAGTACTCCCTCCCTTCCATATTACTTGTGCCACATTAATTTTGGGATTGTTCCAAGTTGCGAGCCTCAATTTCCTTTTTGAAAATGGCACAAAAAAAGTAAGTTGGTACAGTACACCTCCAAAGAATGTATAGTACACAAAAACAAACCCATCACAGCTGCTATAGTGCACCTTAAAAAAGTGTAAGGTGGGAAAAAACGAACTCCTTAAAGCCACTTTTCCAATTCTTGCAAACACTATCCTAAACTATGAAACCCCCACTGGAACAACTATTTCGGAATGGAGGGACTAATTATTAAATAACAACTTTTTTAATACACTTTGTATTTACTTCTTATTGTAATTTATACAGGCATCATCAGTTAGCAATGGAAATGACTCAAATGAGATGCTTAGGGGTGTTTCAGGTGGACAAAGGAAGAGAGTTGCAACAGGTTTTCCACTTTCTTGTGTATTCTTTCTATTTGTTTTTCTCTGTGTCAAAGGGCTTGCTGCACCTTCCACACGTGTGACTACACATTATTAAACAATGTATACGTTATACTACATAATCATTTTCTAAGGTGCCTATGGCAGACAAGTTTAAATTCAAATTCGAACTAAAAGTTTACTCTTTCATATGATAAAGACTTGCAAATTGACATCTCGAGACGCAGTAACATATTTATATTTTATACTGCTTTCTTTCATTAAACAATCTTTTTTATTTGGTAAATATTTAGGATAGTTACACTGTCTTTGTAATGGACTATATACCAGCTTATTTAAACATGAGTCCCTGTGAAAATCCAGCAAAAAAATCTTGACAGCCCTGCAAGAATTCACTAAAAATTGTTCTGTAGTTAATGAGACACTTTATTCTTCAGTGCTCATAGGCTCATAGCAGGAGAGATGATTGTTGGGCCAAGAAAGACTCTGTTTATGGATGAAATATCTACTGGAGTCGACAGCTCCACTACATACCATGTTGTGAAGTGCATAAGGAATTTTGTTCATCTAATGGAAGGAACCGTCTTAATGGCTCTTCTTCAGCCTGCCCCAGAGACATTTGATATGTTTGATGATCTGGTTTTGCTTTCCGAAGGATATGTAGTGTACCATGGTCCACGAGATAGTGTTGTTGAGTTCTTTGAGTCATTAGGTTTTAAACTACCACCTCGTAAGGGGATCACAGATTTTCTTCAACAGGTTATTTGTTTAAGATTTCCTTTTAAAATAATAATAATATTAATAATAGTTATTGTTGTTGTTAATTATATTCTTCAGAGCGTGTGTTTATTATTTGTCCTCACTGTGATGCAGAAGAAACTGTAACTAATCGTTTTTGCAGGTGACTTCAAGGAAAGACCAGGCACAATACTGGGCTGATCATTCAAAACCATATGTTTTTATTCCAGTTTCAAAAATTGCTGAAGAATTTAGAAATTCCAGATATGGTCAGGCCTTGGAGAGTCTTATCTGTCAGGTCCTTATGAAGGAACTGGTGCCCATCATTCAGCTCTCTGTGCTAAAAGGTTTGCAGTTTCTAACTGGGAGATCTTCAAAGCATGTTTTTCCAGAGAACTGCTTCTCATTAAAAGACACAGATTTCTTTACACTTTCAGAACATGCCAGGTATACTTACCTTTTCCAGGTTAATAACATAACCTTCACGTACTAAGTGGCATTCATAATTTTTACTTATAGGCTTATAGCTTCGACATCACTATGCCTTGCAATATGAATCTCCCGGTTTGTCAATAATGTTGCAGGTTGCATTTGTGGGATTTGTGACTTGCACAATGTTCTTAAGAACCCGGTTACACCCCACTGATTTGGTCAACGCAAATCTGTACCTCTCTTGCCTGTTTTTTGGTCTGGTGCATATGATGTTCAATGACTTTCCTGAGATGCCTATTACAATTTTCCGATTACCAGTGTCCTATAAGCAAAGAGATAATCTTTTATATCCTGCCTGGGCCTGGTCTATCTCTTGTTGGCTTACACGCATACCTTACTCAGTAATTGAAGCAGTTATACGGTCTTGTGTTGTATACTATACTGTAGGATTTGCTCCTGGTGCGGGAAGGTATCAGCCATTACATTCATTATGTTGATATAGATATATATGTACTTGTAGGCTAGTTGTTATCTTAATGCCATATTAAAATATCTCCAGGTTTTTCCGCTATATGTTCGTCCTTTTTTCCATACATCAGATGGCATTGGGCCTCTTTCGCTCGATGGCAGCTCTTTCACGAGATATGGTCATTGCTAGTACATTTGGCTCAGCTGCCTTGCTAGCTATATTCTTATTGGGTGGTTTTATAATCCCTAGAGGCAAGTAGAACTTTTTCCTTTATCATGTTTTGACGGATCACTGTTGAAATAAAACAATTCTTTCATCCCTTGACCTGTTTCCCTTTTCAGATATGATAAAGGGATGGTGGGTTTGGGCTTTTTGGGTATCACCATTATCCTACGGGCAACGAGCAATATCTGTCAATGAGTTCACGGCAACAAGATGGAATGAGGTCTACTCTCTATTTCATGAAAATACAAGCATCTGCAATTCATAAAATGGAATTATTGACACTTTTAAGACTCCTTTTAATTGTGGCACTTTTGCAGAGGACTACTTTAGGAAATATTGCTCTTGGAAACAGCCTTTTGCAATCACACAGCTTACCTGCAGGTGGCTATTGGTATTGGCTGGGAGTTGGTGTTCTACTGCTCTATGCCTTGTTTTTCAACATCATAGTGACACTGGCATTGACGTTTCTTAACCGTAAGTAGTCTGGGATCTGTTGCATGACATTCAAGTCACTGTCTCTCAATCACCTCTTACATTTATTTATTATTTTTGTGTTGGCTTTTTTCTGCTGTGCAGCGATCAGAACATCTCAGGCATTCGTAGAAGAAAATTCAGCTAGAAAGGATGGTAAAAATGGAAACCATGATTTTTATGGTCAGTTGGTTATGAGTGAACAGACTCCTTTAAATGATTGTGTACTTGTCTTGAATTGTAGCGGAAAACAGGGCGAACATACAAGAGATAGACCAGGCCCAGGCAGGAAATGTAGTGTACCATGTAGTGTACAACAATAACTATTATTATTATTATTATTTTAAAAGGAAATATAAAACAAATAACCTGCTGAAGAAAATTTGCTATACCCTTACGAGGTGGAAGTCTAAAAACCTAATGACTCAAAGAACTCAACAACACTATCTCGTGGACCATGGTACACTACATATCCTTCGGAAAGCAAAACCAGATCATCAAACATATCAAATGTCTCTGGGGCAGGCTGAAGAAGAGCCATTAAGACGGTTCCTTCCATTAGATGAACAAAATTCCTTATGCACTTCACAACATGGTATGTAGTGGAGCTGTCGACTCCAGTAGATATTTCATCCATAAACAGAGTCTTTCTTGGCCCAACAATCATCTCTCCTACATTGACATGGCCCAACAATCATCCATAAACTGAGGTGATAAGTACGTCAACGTGTAGTGGCGATTGTGATGTATATTTCTTTCCTTCTCTAGTATTTCATTCTTCTCATACTTCGTTGTAAAAAAGCGCATGGAGAACTCTTTATTCTCAAGTCAGAGACATGTATTGTTTGTCAAAGTATATCAATTGTCCATTTATACGAATGTGTATAGTAGTAAGGGATACAATTACTTAAAAAAAGAATAAAATATAGACAAAGTGCAGTATATTGTGAAATGGAGAAGATTTAAAGTAGATATAATGAGATGAATATATAGATAATAACTTTTAAATACTCTCTTCTTAATCTGAAGTTTTTTTAATGAATTTACAATGGATTGATCATACCTTATTTATAGTAGTTCCGCTTGAATCATCAAAGAATGATTCTACACATTTTGCTGCCAATATTAAATCTATCCACTTGTTTATCTATGATTAACAAGGATTGAAATTCAATAACTGGTCTGAATACAAGGATAAATAATTCAAATTTCAAACTTGTAAATATGAGGATTTTATAAAAACCCCTTGAAATACAAGGATAAACAATTCAAATTTCAAACTTGTAAATATTAGGATTTTATAACACCCCCTTGAATGCTCATACTTGAATGTAGTGGTGGACTCGGGCCGGTTCGGGCCCGGGCTAGGAAAGTTGGGCCCGAGCCCGAACCGCCGGTGGGCGGTTCCGGTTCCGGTTCCGGGCCAAACCGGGCAGGGTCGGGCCTGACCGGTTCTATTTTTTTTTTTTTTTTTGGCTCTTCTATTTAACCCCCAACCCCTCCCCCTCAACCCCAAACCACCCCAAACCACCTCAAATGGCCCAAAATACCTAATCCAACCCAAAACTTAAAAAAAATTCAAAAAAAAAAATTAAAAACCGGCCCGAACCGGGCCCGAACCGGCCGGGCCGGTTCACCAAAAACAGGGCCCGAGCCCGAACCGCCCAGCAGCCGGGCCGGGCCGAACCGAACCGGTGGACCCACCGGGCCCCGGGCCGGGCCGGGCCAAACAGTAACCGGGCCGGGCCGGGCCAAACAGTAACCGGGCCGGGCCGCCCGGCCCGAGTCCACCACTACTTGAATGAATATATTGTTATCTTAAAAACTTATTATGAAAAATTAGTGGGAAAAGCCAAGGTTAAGAGGGGAAAGAGTACGGCGTTTAATGCCGTTGTATTTGGATGTACCGTTTCGTTAAAAATCTTATCAAGAAAAAACCAATAGGATAAAAATTTAATGAAGGAAAAATGAGTATAAAAATTGTTCAAAGCCACTTGAAATTTCAATTAACTCCATATCTTGGCGAAGATAAAAATGAATAAATATTTGTTCAATATAAATTGTAATTTATTCAATAGTACATTTAATTACATAGAATAAACTTCAATTAATACATTTTCAAATATTTAACGGAGTACATACTTTAGATATGCATAAAGTATGATTTTTTATTCGATTTTGTACAACAACATCCAAGCCTTAGTCCCAAAAGATATTGGGGTCGGCTAACATGAATCGATACATGATATCACCACCAAAAGGAAAAGAAAGAAAATAAAGATTAAAAAAAATAAGCTAATATAAAATGATAATATAAAACGAGATGAGTATACCTAGAAATGATAAAATAAAAAGGACAAAAATAATGTTTATATATATAAGGATAAAAGAATAAAAAAACAAGAATGAAAAAAAATGAGGGGAAAAAATAATACGAGATTACTCCTTCACATGAATACCCGCCCTCCACTTTGATATCTCCAAAGTCATACCCTCATCCAACCCAAGAAGAAGCATATCACTTCAAACTCCCCTAACCCACGTCTGTTTGAGTCTTCCTCTCTCTCTTTTCCCTGCCTCTTCTCCACACATCTCAACACGCCATTCCTCTTTGATTTTGTAATAGGAAAAATATTGTTACTCTTAAAAGATGACGAAGTAGATTCCCATCAAGGTACATCATCATGGAGGGTATTACATTACTCCAAATTTAGGTAGTAGATACCAATTATTATTATAATATTGTCTCTTACTCGGCATTAAATCAAACAACAATGCTTGATGTGCCCACTCTTATACCCAAGTTATACGTACCTACCATGTTTGTGAAGTGTTTTTTTTATATTTTGTTTGTGCAAAATATTGATTGTGAACCGGGGTTCACTGACAAAAAAACACTTCATAAATATGGATGTGTACAAAAGTGGATATAAAAGTGGATATAAACATCATTTTTGTAAATCAAATGATGTTAGAAGACAAAACATGTGATAATGCCCAACAGATATATGGATCATACATGATGTGTGACACATCTATCCGTGAATGTGTCACTTATGAGGATAAATCAGTTCAGTCTCACTTATGTTTGTTACCACACAAAAGAATCTTTCCATTTAGAGTAATTCTTTAGATTCATTTTAATAAACTTGCCCACTATATATACATAGGAATTCGATCGCTTCAGTATTTATCATTTTGGTTTCATTTTAGTTTAACATTAGTGGTGCACGTTTTATTCACCGGCCGGGTGGTGTTTATTCAAATTATTGAAGAGTAGGACGTAGGAAACAATAACACATGCACCTTGATATCTTTTTTTGAAGGAAAAAAAGGTGCAAATAGGCCTATGTACTAATAAAAAAAAGGGCAAATAAGTCCTTATTTAGGAGACTCTGTCTGGCCATCGCCATTTGGGGGGTTACCGGTGGAATTTTTTGATGAATTTTTTTGAGCATCTTATTCATCAAGTCTAGTTACTCATACCAAATTTCAGCTAAAACTTCAATCGGAAAGGCATTCAAATGAATTCTTGAAGATAGATGCGCTTCTAACTGCGCAGTTATTTTCAAGAATTCATTTGAATGTCTTCCCGATTGAAGTTTTAGCTGAAATTTGGTATGAGTAAATTAGACTTAATGAATAAGATGCTCAAAAAATTTCATCAAAAAATTCCAACGGGAACCACCCCAAATGACGACGGCCGGACAGAGCCTCCTAAATAAGGGCTTATTTGACCTTTTTTGGTTAGTACATGGGCCTATTTGCACCTTCTCCCTTTTTTTTTGAATAATGCACCTTGATATCTTATTAAAGCAAATTTCAAAACATACAATCATGCTTCATAGAGAGCTGGGCTTTCTCTTCTGCGCAATTTCTCATTTTCTCCATCTTAGATTTTAGTTTGTTCCCCAAGGCTTCACAAAGACTCTTTTTACTAACCATCCGTTTCTTAGTTTGAGCATGTAGATAATTACAAGCCTCAATTAGTTCCACCATTCATTAGTTCGCGTTCAAGAAAAACAGATTTCACATTTTCACAAATATATATTCATCAACAAAGATATTATAAGGTGTTAGAGACTGTCTAATCCGATTTTTTTTTGTCCTTTTCTGTATGGGCTGCGAGTTTTTTCTATTCCAGTTGGGCCACACGAGTCCTAATTGTGGTAGGAGTTAGGTTTTACTCTCTATAAATACAAGCTCTCTCCTTGTAATCATAGATCCGAAATTAATAGCAATATCCTGGCTTGGTAGCGCCACGGACGTAATCATTCGTGGCGAACTGAATTACCAAATTTCGTGTGTTCTACTTATTGTTTTCGTGTTGCGTGAGTTAAATTCTAACAGGTATGTCTCTGTTTTTAAATATACGTAGTTTATAAATATATTTATATATAACATAAATTTGAAGGACATATTGATTCAAAGTAGATTTATCTTTTGCTTTCTTCAATTTCTTTTACAGAATATTTAGCTATAATTTTTTGACATGGAGGATCCCAATGGTTGGGCAACCATAGAGCATACTTCTTATAGTTTTGAACTAGTTATTTAACGCGCGTTGCGCGTTCGTGGTAATGCCCAAGGCCATTGTAGGGATATTAATTCATCGATTTAGGTTGAGTCAATATATGAGTAATATGAATATAATATTTGAATACATAGTTTGTTAATTATTGATAAGGAATCATAATCAATAAAGTATCTATAGGATAGATTATATTAGAGAAAACAATCCTGATGGAGTATATGGCCCACGAACCCCAGGCCCATAGACTCCTACTTCTCCTACACAAGTCCATTGAGCCCAGGAGACAACTCAGGCCCAAATGCAACGCTCAAGCCCCAAAGTAGCCCGGAATACACACTGGGGTGCCTTCGGCCTCCTTGGCCGAAGGCTCCAAAACTCACAGGATAGCCTTCTCTGGCATAAGAAGCTACTGGGAGAAAACGGCGAAAAAACATGAGCCTTCGGCATTGCCAGGCCCTCGGCATCAGGGATGCCTTCGGCTGAACCAAAGCCTTCGGTCACACAGGGCCTTCGGCTAAACAGGGTCCCTTGGTCACATGAAGCCCTCGGCTACACGAGGAGCCTTCGGCCAAACACGCTCAATCATCGAAGATTCCTTTTGGAGACAGCCAACCACCGCATTTAAAGTCACGTCACATCCGCCAACCGCATTCAATGCGGTGAACGTACCACTGCCAGTGCCACCCGGCTGATGTGACCCCTCGACCGTCGGATTACTGACACGTGTACTCTCATCGCATTTATTGCTGCTATAAATAGCAGCCCTTATTCACCTTGTAAAGACACGCTGAGTTCATTTAATATAATCGACTCTCTCTCCTCCTATTTGCTCTGACTTCTCTCTAGTTATTCCCGCAATAACCCCTCGGATAAGATACCCCCCGGGTAGACAGTCCATCATTTGGTGCTCTCGTTGAGAGGTCAGAACAATCAAGTAAGAAACCCTCCCCCTCTACCAAACACAAAACACTTACCAAAAATGGGAAGAACCACCCGTGCCCAGTCCAAAACCCTTGAGGAGAACCACGTAGCCCCCGGCGAAACCAACGGGGCTGAGGCCTCCAACAGGCTCTTGGTACCCGAGGGTGGTATCATCCTCGAATTGGAGCAAGCTACCGCTGACCTCCGTCAGCAGCTGCAGAAGAACGCCCCTGATGCCCGCATTGGCCTTGATAATCGAAGGAGGGATCGGAGTGAGAACCAAGTTCCCCCTCCGGCCCCGGCCATCGATCTTCAGGCTGCCTTTGCGGCCTTTGTCCAAAACATGGCTCTCAATTCCGGAGCCCTCGTCTCTCAGGCTCCCCTTCAGCCCTACGCTGGGGGAAATATTATTCAATTGCCACCACTCCCTCCTCTGTTCAACAATCCTACCCCGGGGATTGGCAACGCCGAGGGGGTCATAGCACAGGATACCGCCTCCCAGGAGGCCCAGTCCAGGGACAA